AAGAAAAAGACCCAAAAATCGGGGCTGTCCCTATAAAATCAGGACATCTGGTCACCCTAATCACACCACTCTTACTATTGAAATTCCGTGGGCCTCATTGGAATTACTACTGATTTACACTGACATAAGGGAGATCAGAATTAAACCTAAAACATTTATAACTCACAATTCACATCAGGAGTTCTGTGCATCGCTATTTAGAATGTTTGTCAGGGACTGCATAAGGTGGTCTGGTGTCTACCAGTAAGAAAAATGGGGCAGGTGGATCCATATTTGGTGTGCCAGTAACTCTAATGAGATCAGGAAAGTTACACCAGGAATGGAACAGGCCCATTACTTTGAAGAGAGACCACAAAATTAGTCTATTATTTACTCCTCTCACCAACAGCACATACCCCATGTAAACAGAGAGCAAGTGCAGAGAAATGTGCACAAAATGACTGGTACGGGGGAATAAGATGTTCTACCCCAAAGGCAGTAGATAGTGGGCAACTATTGCACCTACCTCCCAACATAGAGTACTGACTTTATGGACCACATTGTGTGCAGCCCCACTGGCCACTTCTCCAGTATGCCCATTCCCCTGTTAGAGAAAGCCACAGCAGAACTCTGCTCCTTGGTATGTCTGCCAGCTCTCCATTCCTGGTCCCTTTCCCCCCCATCACTAATGAAATGCAGGTTTGGAAATTTCTGGAAAAAATATAAGATTTTCCAACTAGCTCAACATGGGAGGTTGGTGCCAAAAGTGGAAGCAGAAGCCAGATGTCCTGGGTCCTTATCCTTTGCCTTAATACTGCAGCAGCCATTGAGATCCCAGCCCAGCCATGGGTCACCATAGAGCAGGGGTCGGCAACCTTTCAGAAGTGCTGTGCCGAGTCTTCATTTATTCACTCTGATTTAAGGTTTCACGTGCCAGTAATACATTTTAACATTTTTAGAAGGTCTCTTTCTATAAGTCTATAATATAGAACTAAACTATTATTGTATGTAAAGTAAACAAGGTTTTTAAAATGTTTAAAGAAGCTTCATTTAAAATTAAATTAAAATGCAGAGGCCCCCAGACCGGTGGCCAGGACCCGGCAGTGTGAGTACCACTGAAAATCAGCTCGCAAGCCGCCTTCGGCACGCGTGCCATAGGTTGCCTACCCCTGCCATAGAGGATAATGGGGAGAGGACTATAACCCCCAGGTGTCTGGTCATTGAGAGCTAAATCTTAAACTCAATCCAGATGCCAAAGGTATCCAGTGCACAGCATGAAACAGCGGTTAGGCAGAATCCCTACTGCCCACTTCTAACAGCAATCGTGCCATCTTGTTCTACACTAACAGCAGGTGTTGGTTCAGTGTTCGGTAGCCCAATACAGATTTCATTGCAGTAAACTAACCTCGCTGGCACAAAGACACATGAAGAATATACACACAGTTGGAGCAGACTGGAATCTCAAATGTATGTCATGATTCCAGTTTTTTAAAAAAAATCCTTCTGAACATGTAGTCACAAGCGCAGGAATAGATTTAAGGGAGGCAAAGAAACATTCCACACATAAGATTAGAATCTGACCCTTTGTCAGCAGGGCCGGCTCTAGGATTTTTGCCGCCCCAAGCAAAAACAATTTTGGCCACCCTCCTCTCCCGTTTTTTTCTTACCCCACCCCCGGCCCCGCCTCAACTCCGCCCTTTCCCCAAATCCCTAGCCCTGCCTCCTCCCCCCAGGCTCTCAAGCCTGGGAGGGAGGGGGTGAAGCAGCGCGCACGCCGCAGCCACTTGGGGTCTCCCCCTCCCTCCCAGGCTCTCAAACCTGGGAGGAAGGGTTAGCAGTGGTGCGCCAATCAGCTGTTCCATGCGCCGCGGCCACTCGGGATCTCCCCCTCCCTCCCAGGTTTGAGAGCCTGGGAGGGAGGGCAAGCAGTGGCGCACGAATCAGCTGTTTCACGAGCCGTGGTGTGCAAGCGGCAGCAGCGGAGGTGAGCTAGGGCGGCCGGGGCACATTTTTAGGGGCGGCCAGAAGGCTGCCCCTAGAAATGTGCTGCCCCAAGCACCAGCTTGTTTTGCTGGTGCCTAGAGCCGGCCCTGTTTGTCAGTATCCTTCCCCAATGTGCAAGTAGAGACAAAGAGAGAGAGATGTTTTCTAATGTGTTGTTAAGACACACAAA